CACCTCTATTTCGTTGCAATACTGTACGTATTGGTCAATAATGTGTCCGCTGACCGATACGCTGATAACATTCGGTGTCTGCACTACTTCCCCAGTCGACAATTTCAGAAACCGTTCACCGAATGGTAAATCCTACACGATGTAGGGACTGGTAATAAAATCCAAGAAATGATCCAACTGGTTAAGATCGATTCTCCATCTCGGGCTTTGTTTTTCAATTACAGGAGCCCCTCGCCCAGAAACTAAAATATGTTGTCTTGCTTGACAAAACATATATTTTGTTAGGCCTGGAATGTATTTGCGTATTTCTTGCAACGTGGTGATATCCGCCATTATAGAAAGAATTTGCAGTTTAACATTTGCACTTGTGGCGTTATTGTATTATTCAGAAAGCGCTCGCAGACTTTTAACGTCATCTGCTCTTAAGGCAACCTCTTTACGTACTTCTAAAGCTTCACACATGTCGTTAGAGTCCGAAAATATGTAGTAAGACAATTCAGCCGTTCCAAGGTCATGCTGAACCGTTTTTAATTTAGTGTACGTAAATACAAAAATAAAGGATAGTTCTTGTTAGCTGTACGAGGCCAAAGGCCAAAATAAATGCTTTAAAAACTCCCTAAATCGGCCAATATGGCGGCCCTCCGGAAGCCCCCTAAAACCGTCATTTCTGTATCTTTCAAAGGAAAGAGAATTCAAAGCAAAGAATATGCATTCAGTATTTAGGACACCATTCTAAGACTTCATACCAAAAATCAGCCAAATCGATGAGGTACCATGTCAGGCCGAAGTTCGAATCTTACAGAAAATCACTCTTAAAATTGTTTCAAATGAATACGATTCTTGCATGGAAAACAAGGCTGGTGAGAGAGGTCTGCGTTTTAAAACTAAATCGTTCAATTCACGCGCCGTTGAAGGAAGGTAGTGTCGCGTCAAATATATAAAAGAAGAAAGGGTAAAAAAAAATTTTTTGTGAATATTTTTTGGAAATACCAAAACAACATTAATCCACCAGCTACACAATATTTTTTGTCTGTAACAAATTGAGAACGAGAAAGCGTTTTAGATTTTGTACTCCATGTGGGTCATTATCGCTTTAATTTCCATTTTTTCTCTCTTTTTCTTCTCTTGAAAAACCGAGCTCGATAAGTCACCGAGCTCGATAACCATTTCCTCTTTGTCCCCCCGGAAAAGTGAGTGGCCTCGAGCTCGGTATCGACAAATCGAAGCCGGTTGACATATCGAGCTCGATAAACTCGTATCGAGCTCGGTTGCCCAGATAACTAAACTGATCCCATCTTTGTATTAGTGACAGGATATACTCCATATTCTCGTTAAATTATTGGCTTTTTACCACTGGAAAGTATCATGCACGTGGCATATACACACTGGGATGAAGTTAAAGATTTGACTGACAGTCCCCGCCTTTAAGTAGATTCTAGTTAATTTTCCTTTCCCTTGATATTTAATCGAAGTAGATATTTCGGTTCAAGTTGAGCACCTCAGACCAGTAAGTGGTTTGACTGACTCCTGTTGCCTTCCTCAAACTGTCCTTTATTTTAAATAAAGGGTAGATAAATGTAAGTGTCTGGTCACCAGTCTAGTTAAAAATGTCTCAAGTTTGAATACCATGAAAGGGGTGCTCTCTGAGAATAGTGGATGCTTTAACTGAATTAGTTTCTACAGTATTCACTGGAAGTGAGCATCAAAAGAAAAGTGTTCATTTAGTGCCTTACAGATGAGCAGTTCAGTCAGAGGATAAATGTACTTAAAGGGTTAAGCTGGGTGTCTAGCTAACATTGCCTATTCTAAATCTTCAGTCACTTATATCAAAACGAGGCAAGAAAGGGGATCCTTTCAATCTCAGTAACTACTGTCACGACGCCAACTTGGTTATAGCACCGAAACGAGGCACTGCTATCATGTGGTACAACCACTTTCTTGACTCTGAAGACGAGTGGCTTGGGGAGAGAGATCCCTACAGCTTGCACGGAGGCTGTGACGTCATAAGAGGAACCAAGTGGATAGCTAATCACTGGATACCTGCACCATATAAGGAAAATCGACATCTTCCAAGCATTTATAGAAGAAATAGCCATTAGAAACGCCGGCTACAGCAACGGAAATGGCAAAAAGGCATTAATAGGTTTAGATTAGCAAAACATCAACTTCGCACATGCATCAGGGTTTTTTGTACTTTCAGTTGGCCGTCAATGCACTACTACAACGTAAAAAATTCCCCCTTTCAAGTTTGCTGGAAGACGTGAAAGAAAGAAAACGACTTTCTTTTTCGTTTTCCTGAACTTTGATTTAGCTAGTACATAGTAGTGGTGAAGCTTGAAGAAGCGCGAATTCATCCTATTTCATGCCACAATACTGTTTCGTCGCTGTCGTGGTTGCTTAATATCCCTGTTAAAAAAATGTCACCCAATATGTCGTCAAGAGATGATTCACTCTTGATTTTTAAAATTAAGAGTGAACAGTCCTCCCCGGCCTTGGTTTTTTTAAGGACACTCTATTTGCAACAAAATTAAGCACAGTGGACATGTTTTGCGGAAAATGACACTTCCTTGACTCCGTACAGAAACTATAGACTCTCAGATTGGACTTAGAGTACTTAGAGAGCCAATGCGACCTTTTAAATCTAATGAACGGAACTCGAGATAACCACAGATGTCTGGCCAATTACAAACACGAGTGCTACATTTGGGGGGTACATATTTGTTACTTGGTCGAAATTCCATCTAAATGGTTATTTGTGTTTCAAATCTTACACGTTCCTGTAAGCAAGAGCCCGGAGTAAAGTGAAATATCAGATGATAAACTTTCCGGCCCTGACAAAATGATTGAGGTATTGAATTATTTTTAGGACACGGCACCTTTGTCATTGTAGGGGGCCAGAAATATAACTATTTCTGATTTTTTGTTATCTTGTATTTTAAATAAGTGACAGAATCCCAGTAAAATAGCTTGCTGCTTCAGGCTATTTGCAGTCCAAATTTTGACTCAAGATGTAAGAAGAACTGTTCAAAACGTGATGTTTTCATTTATCTATTACCTTTTTTAAAATTAGGAAATTGTTGCCTATTTATGAGACACTTAAGAAGAGCTATTTTGATTTCCACAGGAAGAATAACTGCCAAGACTGACTTGGGCATCCAAATTTATTTAATAGGCGACTTAAAATTCTCACATTTTTTAATGGTCTTTTGTAATATCTTTTAAAAAAATAAAACATCCAATGAAAAAAAAAATCATATTCAATTTCTTGTTGTATCTTCAGTCTGAAAAGGGTACAGCTCCAATCAGTGATCAACCCTACAAGGGTACTAAAAATCCCTTTAAAGCCTTCGTGTATGCCCTTAAAAAACTATAGACTCGCGTTTATCTTAAATTGTCTTAAATCGAAAGGAAATAAATTGCATGATGCCAACCAACACAAAGTGAGGCCCATAAATGGGAGATTGCTGCAGTAGAATTACCCTGTCATATATGGAGTAACACTAAAATGAATTTCGATTTCGATTAGAGTACTTATACCCGATACCTGCGTTTAGTCCTGGACATAAGAGGCTCATTTGGCACTACCATAAATGATCTAATTGACGCCCGGGGCGTTTATTTGATTTCAAGGGTTCAAGAGGGCGTTAATAGAACTACATGTAATATGCTTTCAGCGAAAATATCAAGCCGTTTGTAAATCCAGTCCACCAATCGATACGTCTTGGCCGTCAAGAGATCCATATCGCTCCTTCAAACCGTAATCGATGTCAGAATCAGGGTTATTATGTTGTCGGCATCGTTAGCCAAACCTTGCTTTGAACTTTTACATTGAACAAGATGCAATGCGCAAACCCTTTTAAATGCAAGGAAATAAACGATTTGGCTCCTTTTTGGTAATTCCTAGTATTTTAATGGGGTAATCGTCATTGGGGCGTCTATTAGACAGGGTACGTGGTATTCAGGAGTTGTTGTTGTGTTATAGAAGCTACAGTCGAACCTCAACTAACGGCCAGCTCTCACAACTGCCACTTTTTTGGCGGACAGTCCATACATTGACACTTGTTTAAAACCTCTCTACAAGGGCCACTTTCTTCTGTCCGATCCCAAAGGTGGCCATTGCGAAGACAACTGTACCACGGTATTCCCTGGGAATGAGCGTCAATTCGAAATTTCCATTTCCTTTCTAAAGATCAACAATTCAGGGGCGGTTTACATGGAGGGAGGAAGATCCTAGCACCAGGAAAATCCTAAAATACGGCGAAATAACGTTTTCGTTGATTACCTGTAGAAATTTCGGTCCGTTTGGTGCCCAAGAATACAAGGGATTAAAGATGGCGGGCGACAATAACAAAAATGCAATTTGGGCCCTTCTGCTTTCCGTTATTGGTGTTAAAAGGCACTTTTTAGCAGAATTATCACAATTATAAGCTCCTGGTAACGACAAACGAAATGATCGGCGTTTATCACCTTGATTACCCACCCAACCACCCCGCGCCGCCAATTTTGTCTAGTTTGTGCCTAGCACTAGTTTCTTTCCAGCGAAAGCAGTTTACACAGTGCTAGGATCTTCCCATCTCTCAGCGAGGAACTCTAGAACTAGGAAGTTTCCTAGCGTCTAGGGACAAGTACAACCCCCTTTGCATGTAAACTGCATCACCTGGTCTAGAGACTCGTAACCGTTTGATATGAAAGCCTAGTTTTACTGTAAAGACGAAGCTGAAGAGGAAATTAAATCTTAGTTACAAAACTAAACCTTCAACATTTCGGAACGTAAAAGAAAGGCCGAGTATTATAAAAGACAGTTCAAGTTAAACTGAATCCATTTAGATACGGCACCTGGCCATTTTGTTTGTTTTTGTACCGACCACAAGTAAAACAACAAAACGACAACCTACACTTGGATATCGCACCTGTAGACTGAGACGCCAGTAACAGATGTCGATATAAGGGAAACAATTCCGAAACGGTTTATGATCGACGGTTAACAGCCACATATGTTTATGAATATCCGAATTTTAATCGTTTTTTCCCTTTTATTTCTCCTAAAATTTGATATTTTAGACAGTACTCATCAAACAAAGAAAGGCAACAAGTTTTGGGAACCATGCTTCGAAGAAGAGGAGAATTTTGCTCATTGTTCAAGCTCTGATAAGACGTGTGCGAAAGACTATCATTTTAAGCTCGTCCGGTTGCCAGGGATGCGGGTAAGCGAAACGTGTTTTATAATTTACATTCATTGAGTCAACAATTACAGAAAAAAAACTTTCGATTATTCTTTTGTATAAAGTATCTTTTTTGTCGTTATATTTTGCTTCCATACCCCATAAACAATTGGCGGTTCATGGGAACTGACTAAGGCAATTACGTGGTTAAACAAATTAAAAGGGCTTGTAGTTTAAGGCACAAGAGGCTGAATGAATGATAGACCAAAAATTATTCTTATAATAATTAACAATAGTTAAAGATAGAAAGTTGTAACTCGAGTTTCACACACTAGGCGATCACAGAGACTGAATATAGTAGTGCATGAGTAACTAGTATAGGTAGAGTTTAGCTGCAAATGTAAAATCCAACTTCAGGACCCTTAGAGAGACTCTGTGTAGAATATGTTTTTATGACGGCACTTCGTGACCAGCTCAGTTCAGATAAAATCGATGAAGTTTGAAACAGTGCGAATTCACTTTTTAAGTGACGTTTTCGGTTTGTTCTCATCCAGAAATTTGGCTACCATGGCAACGTGACGTAACGACTTCTCCTCTCTCTATATAATTATATTACAGACGGGTCACGTGAGTTGGTTGGAACTAGAAAAGGGAAAAAAGTACAAATTAATCACAAGAGCAATGAGGCCTTTGTTATTTGGTAAGTTGCTTTCATCTCATTGCCATTTAATTGAAACTGAAGCAGGAGAACGAGATACGAATTTTATAGCCTAATTTTGCATAGTAGCAAACTTAAAGCAGGGTCTGCAAAAATGTTCCTCTTCCCCGCTCATTGTCAGTCCTCTTTAAAAAAACAATAAAGCAATCAGGAATTGAGAATATCTTTCCATAAAATTCAACGCTATCTTATAATCGCCAGCAGTGTCGACAAAATATTCCCCTTTTTGTTGCAGAGATTCCATCTTTTTTGTCTGACGAAGAGTGCGACCATATTATATCACTTGCAAAGAAAATAGGCCTCTATCCCAGTGTTATATCACGTGATCAGTTCCGCAAAAAGGAGTTAGAAAAGGCTATGCAAGAAGCTGGTACGTACTCCTAGCATAGGTAAATTGAGCATTATATATGAAGTGAATAAATTAAATGTGGTCCTGTCTGTAACTACGCTGAGTTTGATAACTACGCTGAGTTTGATAAAGTGAATTTATGACTGTCGCCGTTAAAAAATTGAAAAGCTTCACGTTTCAAGCGCTACGGGGGCATCCAACGACCTTTTTCGGTAAAATAACTGTTCGAAGTTGCAAATATTGGCTAAAGATTTCTGAGTAACCATTCACCATTCTATTCGTCTATGATATTCGGAGTATTTCTACTAATTTACTTAAGATTTTCCGAGGTTGCGTTCTTCACATTTTATTACCAAGATACTGCGATTATTGTTAAAAATAGGTCTCCTGAAAATTTCGGTATAAAGTGAAAGGCAAAACGCTTCCTGAAATTTTCTTTTAAATGTATGTATGGCTATTCCCTGACCTCGAACTTTCGACCGTACCCAACAGGGTAGTCAACAGTCTCTGATGAAAAGAAAAAGCCAACCGAAGCTTTCGAGACGGATAAAGTTTTTTGTAGCTTCAAATTAACCAAACAGCGGGCTTAATGCATAGAAAAAACCATTTAAGAGACTTCTGACATATTTGGAAACATTTGGTCGTTGGGTGCCCCTAACGCTTACAGCTTCGTCAGAGGGAATCGCTGTGACATAGAATACTTAGTGTTTTTCTTTTTTCGAACGAAGGACGTTTTAAAAAATGACGTTTAAGTTTCAGCAATAAAACAATCAACGTTCAAGAATGGTTTTCAGCTGAGTGTAGTATATGAGCTAAAACGTACCAAGCTAATTATTTTAGCCAATCCCGATACTAGCAGATAATAGGACGAATTCGAAATGATCAGAAAAAGCAGCAAAACATGAACATGTAGCTGATTGGAAGAGGTTTTTGTTATCGACTAATGGCTTTTTTTTTTTTTCTGCCCTTCATTAAGCTCGCTTTTATCAGTATGAAAGCCAACGGTCAGGTTAGGGTTAGGGTTAAACCAAAAACTCAACTAGTATGACTGCAACTTTTGTTTGTTTTAAGACAGCAACGCAACCCTTGACGCCAAAGACAGTGTTGCTCAAGATTTCAACACATGGGATATTGATAAAGATGGTTTTATTGATAATCTAGAGGTAGGCAGCTCATTTAATCGTTTTGTTCTTTCAACAAATCCAAAATTTAAATGGATTTGCTTTTGCCAGAGCTTTGATCCGCAGAATGTTAGTTTTCATAAAACTGAAAGTCGCTGGAGTTGTGTGCTGGATATCTAAATTGAAATTTGTTTATGGCTACGAAATATTCTCATAAACGAGCACATCCTTTAGATGAAGAAATTATGCCCGTGAACTGGGCTTTTTTTTTTCACGGCCCGGCCATTCCGCAGCGTTTAATTCGATTATTGATTAGTTACAGTCGATTATCTCTTAACAGACACCTGTTAAGATAGACACCTCTGTAAGACAGACACCAAGAGTTGGTCCCTGTCTTTAATTTACTCCCTTTATTTGACTCTCTAAAACGGACACTTGGTGTCGGTCCCAAAGGTGTCGGTCTTAGAGAGAGTTGACTGTATTCTATTTCCAAAACTATATCTTACGGCTTACGGCAGTTAGCCCCCCTCCAACCCCACCCCACCCCCATCTCCACCCGGGCGGACACATCAGTCTTCAGCAACACCATCCGGTAAACATCTTTGTCAGATTCTCAAAGCATGCATTTTCACTGAATTATGAACTTACCAATTAAGTACACTTTTCGATGTTTATATGCACACTTTTTGATTGTTTTTTTATTGTTATTATAATTATTATTAATATTTCTTTACAATCGATATCTCTTTTACAGATTAAAATATTTGCCGAAAGGTATAAAGCATTGCGCTTAACAGACGAAGAAGTGAATGAAATGTAAGCACTGACCCAAATTAATCTTGACTAAATCTGTTGTTTAAAAATAATGGTAATTAAGTCTGTTTGAAATAACGTTAACGTCCTCTCCTTGAAAGGTTAAGGCGTACCGCAATGGCTGATTACCTAACAGAAGGTAGGATAAACTTGTCTGTATTTTTTGTAGTCACAGTAATTCATAATTTAGTAACTTTTAAATGCAAACGCAAACAACTAAATTTGGATTTATTCGAAAATGTAATTTTTTATCAACATTTTATAATTAATAAAAATCTTAGGATGTGAATTAAAGTATTCAAACACAGTCGATGCAACGGTTACTTTAAAATCTGTAGCTTAGGATACGAAATCTTAAGTTCATTATACACTGTAAGGCTGCGTTGACAAACTTGGTGTTTCACCGCTTTATGTGTTTTTGTCAGTATAACATGATAAACAATTTTCAATTCTCGTTGTCTCTAGGAAAGGTATCGTCTACACTTTTTCGTCAATGGAACTTGAAGAAAGTTCTTTCGTATATGGCTTACTTGAAAAAAACAAGTCCTCAGCATAGTTTTCGCTTTAGTGATCAAGCCTGGTTAAGGCAAGACAGAACAGCTGATCATGTATTAAGGCGGCTTCATGAAAGGTAGGTGCAGTTCAACTTCAGTTATTTTGTTCGAGAGGAAGGAATTGGTGGACACATTTTGTCGAGAGCAGCAAAGTTAAGAGATATGCAGTTTTATTATTGTGGAGTTCCGATTGATCAAACCTTAAATTCACGAGCTTCCTTATAATCTGTGCCAAAACTAACTTCAATTCCCTTCTCAAGGCTGATAATATTAGCTCTTAAGATTCGACAACGGCAACGAGAACTTGCATCACGCACGACTACGACATGAAATTGCCTAGTTTCACGATTAAGGGAGGAAGTACACAGGCGACGACGAAATTTCTTCTCTTTTTCTGAACTTGGATATGGTTCTTAGGGATTCAACTTTAGCAGGTTTAACCTACGTTTGACAAAGTTAGTGACTTGGAGTAATTGCGATGAAGATTGAAAGAACGCGAATTCACTTTTTCAGCGACGCTTTTATTGCTGCCATCGCCGTTCCTGGATCTTGAGGTCCCTAATTTATCCGGAGTGTTCTAAACCTTCAAATTTTGTTTTCCAACCTAGTTCGAAACATTGCCATAAAAATGCGTTTTTATTAATCTAATTGGACTCCTTTTCTATAAATCTAAGTTTTAAGCAAAATCGTCTTGTTTTATTCAAATTTATGACATGAATGTACATGGCAGTACAAGTATGCTCGGCATATATTTTATCCTGCTCTTTGATATGTAATTGGTATCATAATAAGGCCTAAAAGATGGCTCATTGATTTCAGAATTATCAAGTTGACAAAACTCCCAAGAAAAATAATTCAAGGAAGCGAAGACATGCAGGTAAAAATCATAGTTAAAATATTAGCGGAGCTCAGTAGCTAAGAAAATTTGATTATCTATTCATTCGGAAATTTTTGCAGGCACGTGACATACCACAGGGAAACCAAACCACACGTTCTAGCTAGTAGTGTGGAAGCCTGCAATGTGATATTGCACATCCATGTTGTGGTCAATTGACAGCTGTCAAAACAGGGTATCCGTTGACCAGTATCACATGACCATATCGCCCAAAGAGGTTACGTGTTTTTTTGAAGTCCTCCGCTGATAAGTTACTAGTTTTCAACTGATCGCAGGCTCAACTCTTTGAGGATTTCTTTGCAATGGTTCATGTTTGTTTTTTGGAAGTTAATTATAAATTTGTTTACAGGAGCTTCGCCTTTAGTCCCTTCGCCCTTAGCCTTTGGTCCTCTTCATTAGCATGCGTTTTATGTGAATAACACTGATTATTGTGGTTATTTCNCACGTGACATACCACAGGGAAACCAAACCACACGTTCTAGCTAGTAGTGTGGAAGCCTGCAATGTGATATTGCACATCCATGTTGTGGTCAATTGACAGCTGTCAAAACAGGGTATCCGTTGACCAGTATCACATGACCATATCGCCCAAAGAGGTTACGTGTTTTTTTGAAGTCCTCCGCTGATAAGTTACTAGTTTTCAACTGATCGCAGGCTCAACTCTTTGAGGATTTCTTTGCAATGGTTCATGTTTGTTTTTTGGAAGTTAATTATAAATTTGTTTACAGGAGCTTCGCCTTTAGTCCCTTCGCCCTTAGCCTTTGGTCCTCTTCATTAGCATGCGTTTTATGTGAATAACACTGATTATTGTGGTTATTTCACTAAAAGAGAGTATGTACCTTATTCAGGTCGTTCGCTATCAAGCATTTGGTCATTATCATGCCCACTTTGATTCCGGCCTGGAACTTAACATCCCATGTTGTCATCAAAACCCTTCGTTAAGGCCTCCACAATGCCGCATTTGTAGGTAAGTTCAACCTACAAGCAGTTAAGAAAAGTACATGAACTCCGTTTCCAGAGAAATTCACTTCTAAGCACAACACAACTGAATTTGCCCGTGCAATGCAATTTAGCATTTTGGCTTAATCCGCCGGTAAGCCCTAACCGTTTATGCCACAGGGCACTCCGCCAGGTCAGTCATATACAATATAGTACGTTCCAGAACCAGAATCATGCTTCTCATTAAGTGGAAAAGAGGTTGCAGATAGATAGATAGGATGAAGATAAAAATCTAGAACACGCCTTGGATTCAGGATACCAGGCACTGGATTCCAGTCTTTCTCAGTAGAACCTGGAATCAAAGAGTCAATTCCTGTCGTGGACTCAGATTTTTTTCTTTGTCTCCTGTTCGTAACTTGTTGATCACATCATTTCTCAACATGATATTGTTGCAGAAACCAAATAACCATCCGGCGGCAGGGATAAATGCACTAAATGGTTGATGCTCTATTTGGCGTACGGAACATGTAGCCATAAAATCATCAAAGACAGTTTCCTCAATTTTGTTACTCAATAAACAGTTAGGAAATCGTATTTTTGTCTCGAATATTCTGTGGGCATGAGGTACACGTAATCACCAAGAAGGAAAAGAGCAAATGATTACATTATTAAGAAAACTCAATATCCGAAGCCTGTGTTTTGTACGTTTTCCCTTGCTAACTCTCAAAAACTATTGCTATTAAAACCCCGCTGGTTACCACTCTTACGTCAACATTCACATATTTGAGTGGGAAAGTCAAACCTCTAAGAGATGAATCACTACAGGCAGCTTGAAATGTTTCAAAGATATATTACAGATGCATTCTAATGAGGCTGATAAATCTGTATTTGCAGGTTCATTACGATTCTCTATTACCTCAATGACGTCGAGCAGGGAGGAGAAACAGCATTTCCAGTGGCTGACAATTTCACAGTGAAATGGAAGGTAGGAGATTCTTATATTGNTCACATCATTTCTCAACATGATATTGTTGCAGAAACCAAATAACCATCCGGCGGCAGGGATAAATGCACTAAATGGTTGATGCTCTATTTGGCGTACGGAACATGTAGCCATAAAATCATCAAAGACAGTTTCCTCAATTTTGTTACTCAATAAACAGTTAGGAAATCGTATTTTTGTCTCGAATATTCTGTGGGCATGAGGTACACGTAATCACCAAGAAGGAAAAGAGCAAATGATTACATTATTAAGAAAACTCAATATCCGAAGCCTGTGTTTTGTACGTTTTCCCTTGCTAACTCTCAAAAACTATTGCTATTAAAACCCCGCTGGTTACCACTCTTACGTCAACATTCACATATTTGAGTGGGAAAGTCAAACCTCTAAGAGATGAATCACTACAGGCAGCTTGAAATGTTTCAAAGATATATTACAGATGCATTCTAATGAGGCTGATAAATCTGTATTTGCAGGTTCATTACGATTCTCTATTACCTCAATGACGTCGAGCAGGGAGGAGAAACAGCATTTCCAGTGGCTGACAATTTCACAGTGAAATGGAAGGTAGGAGATTCTTATATTGCCCGGCAATCCCTTGTAAATGTCCAAGGTGAAGAAAATTGTTAGTGGTTTGCTGTCTACTAGAATATTTGTAATATTGGAACACACGGAACCGAAATTTCTGCCCAGCCCGTAGGTTTGACTTGTTAATGTTTAACTAATCAGTGTGCAAATTATACTCACGTAACAAAATACGGTGTAAATTTTGTCAGCACTCGTGTTTACTAGAGTTTAACAGATATTCGCAGTAACTGTCACTCATAGGTCCGTGGGCGTAAAGAAGAAGTGTTCTAACTGCAATTGCAATGAACAATAAAGAAATAACATTCACGATTTCATGTCATGCGGCCTACAGTATCTCAATTTGTTCGCTTTTTATTTCCTCCTAGGACCTTGAAAATGCAGAAGCGGTTGAATATAATCTGAGTATAAACTGTCACACAGCCAACTTGGTTATTCCTCCCAAGAAAGGCACCGCTATCATGTGGTACAACAACTTCATCGACCCGAAGAGCGGTCTTCTTGGAAAGCTGGACCGAAACTCGTTGCATGGTGGATGTGATGTAATCAAGGGGGAGAAGTGGATAGCTAACAACTGGCTGACAGCACCTACTGAGGACTCTAAATACCTTAAAAGTTCTTATGATGTTGGATTCAGCGACTAAACAATGCTAGTTTATTTTTATGCTTGTCAAATGGCATTTTGTTTATGTACGGGTAAACTTTCTAAGACAATAAGGTTTAGTTACGAGTAACTGGAAATAAACTAGACAGTCTGGAAGAAAGGATTATGTAGCCGTGTGGCGGAATTGATACACTCTTCTGGCCTCCCAGGTCCCTCCGCTTAGCTTTGAGTAACTACTACTGAACTTAAAATCACCACTGACACGCTTTATTTTGAAGGAAATTTCCTGGCCTTTCACTGAACACCTTGAATTGACATTTAGAGACCCTATATGACCCCTGTAATCCGGTCGAATCTCTTTATTTCATGCAACAAATAAGAGAACTTGCAGTTATGGCGAAAATGGGTCGAGGGGATCGTTGCCTCCTTTTGAAAGAAAACCCGACCACAATACAATTAAATTGTATTTGCGGCATTCATCAGCTGTTTTGCCTGTTTGTTCACGTGTGTAGTTGGTTCCCTTTGATCCCTTGCAAGGAAAAGAAAATAATAATAATAATAATAATGATAATAACAAAAATAAAACGAATTCGATCTGGAACACCCAAACACTTACTAACAAACTGTTTAGCCTCTAAGGTGAGCCGAGGTATGAGCGAATTTATACGTGACACCAGTATATTACAGTGGTGGATCCAGACCTTCAGATAAGAGGGGGCGGTCATCCAGACCCTGAGATAAGGGGGAGAGCCGGTCTCAAAAAAAATTCTTTTTCGGCTCTTCGGGCCTCAGCTTGGTCTGAAAATAAGGGGGGAAGGGCCACATGGGCCCCTTCCCTGGATCCGCCACTGTATTATTACAAGTGGCTGGAACTCGCCCTTTGGATTTTTTGTGTGTTACAAGATAGGCTGTGATGAGCTTTGCCAAATAAGTACGAAAGCCTTAAAATTTTGCTCAACACTCTGGTCAACACTCTCGTCAACACTCGTAACCATAGTAACCAGCAATTCACCAAAGTTTCATCAGGATGCTTCTTGGAAATAAGGTGCTACTTAAGACAACTGCTTGTGGTTTGAAAAAAAAAGCCCCTTGCGGCTAATTAATAATTAAAAGTGGTACAATCATACCTTGCTATGAGGCAGACAACTCAGTTGGTCAACAGAAAAAAAAGGAGCTAGTTGTATGACTTAAAGTGGTGATTCCTTTCTTTTTAAGGTCCTACTGAGTTGTTCGTGTCCAAGCGAGGAAATTTTTTGTGCCATGTGATTGTCCGGAGGAAAAATGAGGAAACCCTAGGCGGGGTTGGGGGGGGAAGGGAATTTTATCCTCAGTCTTATACGTCTAGCTACAGGAGTTTGCGGGTAAACAATTCACGCATTTGAAAGGTGTGCGTATCACATAGTTTTATGATGTAAGTGCTGGACCGCACTTTTATTTACGCAACAGTTCATTAAAATCCACACTCACGGTTTAAGCTTTACTAATGGTTAATCGCTCTCTATCAATGTACTATTCAACTCAGATACTTTTATATATCAACTGATGGTTTCTATTTTCAACGTTTCTTTCATCTCGGGGCTCTCACCCAAAATAAAGCTAAAAATTTATTTCAAAAATTACAACTTTCAAGCTCGATTTATCCACTCTATCTGATAAAAACAAAAATAACTGAAAGGAATGTGCATAAATTTGAGAGTCTTCTGCATGAAAGAAAGGGAATGAAACTACTCAGTTACATGCGTCAGAGAGTCGATATCAATCAAACCCAACATCGAACATGCTCCTGATGTGTCTTGATTGTTTAGTGGGCGCTGTGAGCCAGTTGTTAGCAATCCACTTTTCCCCTTTAATGACGTCACAACCACCATGTAGTGTGTAATGATCCACTGCACCAAGAAGACCGCTGTCCGGGTCGATGAAACTGTTATACCACATGATGGCGGTGCCTTTCTTGGGGGCAATAACCAAGTTGGCCGAGTTACAATTAATGCTCAAATTAAACTCGTCTGTTGCGGCCTTTGAATTATAAATGTCCTGGAAAATAATACAAGCCCAGTCATCGTTTTCAAAATACAACTAGAGATATGCATGAGCGTTAAAAGGTAATGTTAAAGAGAGCGTTCACACCCTTTGTCTTTCACAGACAAAAAGTTTAGTCTTATTCATTTGGAACTAAGCGAAGTATTGTTAGTAACGTTTTTCCAAAATCTCATCAATGAAATACAAAGATTAAGCCTACTTACATGATAGTTTCTTACAGTGTAACAACTTTAACTGGGGCTATACAGACATTTTCAAATTTTAAACGAATTAACAAAGTCAGGCTCCTTTAATATTATCATAAACGTCATCCCGTGATATGGCGATTGATTTTAGCTGAGCTTGCCCGGTTGAGTTCGTTGCACTGTTAATCATGTGTTACTACCGTGGTTTTTCTCTTTTCCTTTCCTTCACTTTTAATAAACCATTGTCGAGGTTCCAAAAACTCTAACTTTCAAACGAGGCTAAGTGCAAACCCTTTTTTTGTAAAAATGATTTTTTTTGTAACGAGAATACATAATCACTTTCATATCAATGACTTCGCGCTTAGCCTTAAATATTTAATAATGCTTTGTTTATTTCTCCGAACTATTGTAGTTTTCAAACCTCACGATCGATTGGGAGTTTAAAAAATATATTCCCAAAAACTGCCGAAATACAATTGATGTCCTCAATAAAGAAGACGCCTAACTTAATAAAGACTTACATCTGGAGTTGTTGTGGTGTTGTCAGCAATTAAAAAAGCAGTTTCGCCACCTTCTTCCACGTCATTCAAGTAATACAGGATTGTAATAAATCTGAAAAAATTAAATTTTACCCCAGAGACAGTTGTCGCGTTCTACGATAAGATAGTTTTTTATATATATAATCACATTCTGGAGTGATCTGCACAAAATTAACAAGACCGCTACCTTAGTTGTAACTTTGACACTACTGCTTTGGCTAGGCTTTCATTCCTTCTCGTATAAAGGCTATCACAGGACGAAAAAACGTGTTTCCGTATTTTGTAAACTCGACTGAAACGTGAAGTTGCTTAAATCCGTCTCGTTTCCGCCCTGCGGAAACATGGTGATCTAGTTTTCCATGGACGGGTCGCGTTTCCGTTATGTTTCCGAGTCGGAAACGAACGATCATGTTTCCGCCACATTTCTGTTATCACATTTCCGTTCTTTCTTGTTTCCATTACGTTTATTATAGGGAGTAATAATAAAAACCAGTAACAGCTGACACTACAGCTGCCCCCGCTCTGTATATTGTCGGTCAATAGCATTCTTGCTCGTTGTGAAGCTCTTTAAAATATACCGATTCATAATGAAGATTTTCACACATATTCCATACAATAGGTGAGATAAATACTGGAAACGCAAGGTTCCATGCACAGTTTCAGTTCGATTTACACAGCTTTGATCAAAACATTCTCAGTTTCGAGAATATTTTATTCCAAACCATAAGAAACGGTTTCATTAGAAGTTGAATTTTTCGCTATTTCTCTTTCACTTTTTACATTCAGTTGATTTTATTTGTAGGAAAGTAAGCCTTAGAAATTAATAGGACGTTTGACTCTATTCACGCTCGCGCATTCTAGTCTTATTTTAAACTTTATAGCGGAAGGACATCTGTGAGCAGGGAAGAAGTCAGCACAGAATTAGACTGTCGGCGAATTTCTGTAATCGTCCATCGTTCTGCTAGTAATAAGCTAACTGTTGTTCACTCGTCTTGCTTGTTTGGGGCTGAGTTGTTTTGCCTCGATATTTTTGACCAACCAGTTGGATTTTACTAAAACAATTGTTCCTCTCGCCCTCATGGCCTCTGAGTCAATAGCTCATTCGGCCCATATTAAGAAATATTAATTCCAAAAAAAACATAATTAAAATAAAGTATATATGTTAAACTACTTGTGTTCTGGGTAGAACGTATTTCGTAGAGCGCTCAATTCATTTAATTGAAGAGCCTTAACTATTAATAATCACAGGAGTTCAGGCTTCAGGAGTAATCATCGATCGTTTATTGCGACAGTGCTGTTTCGTATGGTCCGAAATTGTAGGACCACACTCATCAGGCAACTGCAACGATTGACCGTTAAAATTAAAAGCTGGCAGTAAAATTTGGGTGGTTGTTATAGGGATGCGTTAAGAGATTGTATCTAGGTAACAGATGGATTTTGTCTTAGTTACGTTAATGTAGAGTTCTGAAGTACATATCTGTTTCTGTGGGGGTATGAACTCGCTAGTTCGTTTCGCCTCTTTAGGCTACAAAGCTCTTTTTTACAAATGATGATATGATGAACTTTTCATAAAGACAAAGATTACATTTTTTGCTAATGTTGCTAGAGGTTTTACACTTCTTTAAAACTTTCCATTTTATCTGGAAAGGTTTCTAAGAGTCTTGTAAAGTCCAAATATATTTTGAGAGTTCCGTTTCATTTCTTCTGTTCGAGCGTAAAAGCTAAAGTAACCCCCGCCCTAGGCGGTCTCGGTGGATAACACCCTCAGCCAGAAAACAAAAAGTTGCTTCAGCAAATTTTGGATAGCCTGGAACCTGCAGATTCCGCAAACCACCGCTCGGTTAAGCTTTCTTTCAGTTCGCTCACAGATTTTTTATGCCGTTTTTGTTATTTTTACAGCGGAGCCTGGTCCTATGCTAATTTTGGAGGACGTAAAAAGAAATTCTACACTTAATTTATTGTCAACAGCGATAATTGCTCCTGTCCAACTTGGATGAGGTCAGTCTAGCAACAGGACTGTGTGTACCACGTACAATTTCAATATAGTCACCTGCAGACTCTGCAATCTGTTGCCCTTAAGTAATTTTGATGACAGCAAGGGACTGTGGGACCGTTAACCGTAGAGTCCAGATGCGCGTGATAGTGGCCAAATTTCTCATATCGTACAATCTGACAAAATGAAGTTTGTAATTATGATTAATTATTAAATAATCACTGCCGCCAAACGTCTCGAATAGTCCAATCTGGCGATTTGAAGTTTGTAATTATGCATGATTATCAATTTTTTATGGCCAAACGTCTCGTATCGCACATTAGAACAAAGTGAAGTTAGTTATTATGTTAATTACCTTTTATAATGAGGAACAGAAGGTAAAGAGTGCCTTTGAGAAGCCAAAACAGGGGAGAAATCTTCAATTCTGGTTTGACCGCGGGGGGTGACATTCTTGACACCAGAGCTCTTCTCAGTTGCGCATGACTATACGCAGCCACAGAAATCGAAGGCTCTGGTGACGAGATTGAGGTGGTGACTCACTGTAAGAAACTGACCCCTAGAGGGGGTACTCATCGATGTCTTATACGGGGAGGCTCCGCCCCGAGTCCAGCCCCTGACCCTTTTATATGCCATATAGAAAAGGTACTACTTTAGCATAGCTTACATTAAAAAATAATGCCACTTTCACATACCTACTTAATACAGTAATTCTTATCATTATTTTTACGAGGCATTTGACAAATTAAATTGATTCGACCATAAGACGTGTGGGTTCGAAACATAATAGAATTGAATACCCTTTTAATTAAAATGGCCTTTTCAAAAATTCCTACCCCTCTGCCCCTTTTGATTGACTGATTCATTAATTGATTGAATGATTATAAAACATTGTCAGTAACGGCTACTTTTTATCTTGCAAAGAGATGTAGGTTACTTTTGGTAGCATTTTCTAAACTTATTTAACTCTTTCTAGCATAAAATTCACCTGCATCGGTTCTCCTCCTTGGACGATTTTCCTTGGAAGTTTGGTCAGCCTTATGACTCTATGAAATATACAACTTTTCCTTAAATTCTTCGTAAACTGGAACTATCAATCATCTTCTTATAGCGTTAGAAGGCTGGAGTAATATTAATTTCAAACAGAAGAAAGAGCAAATATTCAAATTTTTATAATAGTTTGAGTGAACAAGGCCAGTTCAAGAGAGAATAACTGAATCGACAGGAAGGAAATCTTAGGGCGTTGGCAGGGAGATGTGAATTTCATTACAATTATTTTTAGAGTGTCTAATTCTCTCTTGGCCAAATACAGTGCAGTCTTTACCACTGACAACTTTCATAAAGCGATCTTCCCATCACAAACGGCCATCCTTTTATTAAAAGCAGGAACCGAAATCCTAGCGGGCAAAATGTTCGTAATCCGTTCAGATTCAAAAAACCTCTATTCGCGGCCACTTAAAGCATTTCACGCTTTGGACGTCGGCCACGCTGCCAGTCGAGCGGATGGCACAGCAAAAACGACCCCACGAATAACGTGTGGGTTTCCACTGTGGGCGTAATTTTTACATGCGCACACGCATAGAATTTATGTGGGTACATAAAATAGAGCCAATGCATGAAAGATCGCGCATAAACGTAAAATTTGAGAGAGGTTCATTCCCACCTTTACGCGCGACCTTTTTAAACACATTGCCTCTAATTCATCTACACGCGTAAAATTTACGTGCGTAGCGCACGTCCAAATTACGCGGCAGTTGAAATCGGCCTTAAGGGTTACAGGGGAAACAATTACGTTTTTCCGCGATTTTTTTAAAAATGGAACTCCATAAATATTAGAAGGAACTCATCAAGTGCAGCTCATTAAGCTGTGTTAGAAAGCTTACCTTTCATGAAGCTGTCTCAAAACAGGGTCAGCGGTTTTATCTTGCTGTAACCATGTTTGCTGGCTGAAGCGGAATCTGTGACGTGGACTGTTGTTCTTCAAGAAATCCATATAGTGAAGAATTTTCTTGATATTTAACTTTTTAAAATTATCTGATGTCAGTTTACCTGTTGAATAAAATTCAGGCGTGATATGGACTTACAAATAAAATACAAGCTAAGTTTTGTAAGCAATATTCTAAACTGAAGTCTTATTCGAATAGCANAGGGTCAGCGGTTTTATCTTGCTGTAACCATGTTTGCTGGCTGAAGCGGAATCTGTGACGTGGACTGTTGTTCTTCAAGAAATCCATATAGTGAAGAATTTTCTTGATATTTAACTTTTTAAAATTATCTGATGTCAGTTTACCTGTTGAATAAAATTCAGGCGTGATATGGACTTACAAATAAAATACAAGCTAAGTTTTGTAAGCAATATTCTAAACTGAAGTCTTATTCGAATAGCATAAATTTAAAAGAAGCAGACATCCTTCCCGCATCATTTGCTTTATATATCTGAAACTGTTATAACCATACATACCGTCTAAAAATTTGTCGCTGATGTCCAAGTCTTCAAGCCTAGGTAGCCGAGAAAAAGATTCCGAAGATGATATTGGTAAACCTGTGAATTGACTTAGACATCCTTTTAGCATTCTTACTTATATAACTTACGTACGAAGGTTGAGATTGTGTAAGGTTCTACTAAGGTGAATAAATGTGTTGTTTACATGGCGCGCTTTCTTCTTGCCGTATAGGCAAACCAAGTATTATTTCTAGTCTGTCTCAAGTCTAGAGGATTTTGTGGTGGAGTTGATTCCGATTCAGGTGACGGAGGAGATTTATTGACTTCAACAATCCCCTTAACGGCCTCCTGGATGTGTTTCATAATCGGTTATACCATAAGAACTGATTCATTTTCCTAGTTTTTCCCAAAGAGTTGGGTAGATAGGCTTTCATAGCATATAATCGCAGAAACTTCAGTGTTGCCATACTGAGGGAGTAGGCGCACACTGACACCAGGAATGGGTGAATTTTGAGTGGATTAGTGGATTACGATTCTCATTCTCTCTTTTCTTCAATAAGGACCTTATTCTTCAATCCAATTGAATTATATGTTATTGAAAGAAATATGAAACAAGAAAAACCATTTAGACGGTTAAAAAAAATATCTATCATTGCACTTACATTTTGTTCACTTCCTCGTTCGGTAGATAGAGCTGTTTGTGATGCCCGGCAAATTCCTTCAACTTTGAAATTTTAAAGATGTCAATTTGTTGGTCGGATTTTTTAAAAGTAATAATACCAAAAAAGTCATAACGCGAGACAGAAGGCTATCAAGCCAATTGAAAGCTTGTTTAAATGACTGTTACACACAAGCTACCTTCTATTGGGTGTTTTGACTGCGCCTTTGGGCTTAAGTGCGTGTCAAGATTTTCTCTTTAAAAAGAACATACGGTACCTCATCAGTGTCAACATAGCCATCTTTGTTTGTATCCCATGTCTCAAAGTTTCCAGCAAATATCTCATGATGACCAAGTGTCCAATTTCTGTCTGCAAGACAGTTCCCGACGTTAATAAACCACCGAGTGTCCTATAGGGTTTTTCAAACCCTTTTCCTCAATCTCGTGGTCTCGATGACTATTTTTTGGCTAATCCTCATCTTAACAAAAGTCCCAGATTCCCCCATCTTCGGAGAACCAATCGCGGGCAGATGTGGGTAACTTATGATTAGTCAAAATGAAATAATTTTTCTACTTTTAAGAAAAATAAATAAAGATCACCTTTTCCAGACAATGCCTATAAAACAATATTTCCACACTTCCGCAATGTTAAGACGTTAAATCCTGCATTCTGTTGATACAGTATTATTTACAAATCTGAATCCCAGCCTTAACACCCAAAATCCTTCTGGGGACCCTCTTGAGTGGCGCCATCCAATTGACAAATAGGTCAAATAGATTGTAACTTAGCCTGCGCTACAGACGAACCTAAACACTGGTTAAGTCCGTCTGCGAAACGGCGCCAAAATTTTGTTTTGGGCCCCCATCTGTGTCCCAGGATTTGAGTACGCGCCATGATTGGTCTATTAAAAAAAAGCCATTGTCGATTTTCCAATCAGTATGAAAGGAAATTCGAAACTCATTTCTGGTAATCCGTTGGGGGCCCAGAACAAGGATTTCGACGCAGTTTCGCAGAAGTTCCCTACCGGGGTTAAATGATGTCTGCGATGCAGGCTAATCGTAACTATGTGTTAACTGAAAATGAGTTAACGTGTGGTCAATCGTCTTTTAAACCCGGTGAAGGCTCTTCAAGAGCTTACCCGTTGAGTACATGACAATGACTAATGTGATGACTGAGTGCTGAGTGCTCGACGTTACAAAAAAATTAAGCATAACCTTTTAGCTAAAGGTTCGAATGACTTTTTCTTTTCTCGTTAACAAAACATTGACATTTTGTAGTTTTCGACTTCCAGTAGCTCTTCCTCACCAGCTGTCTCCAATTCTCTGTCCAAGTTTCCGTCGTAGTTGAACTGGAAACCAGAGGTACTAGTCCTAAGCCCGCTTTTTCTAGCCAGTTCGATGATGTGATCACACTCTTCAGATGACAGGAACTCTGGAATTTCTTGAAATTGACAAAGGGATAAAAGTCAAATTGGCAGTCCCTAGTGTAGTCACACTGCATAGAAATAATAGTTACTTATGCAATTTTCATGAAAATGTCCAGAATACGTTTATGTAAAACTTAAATCAATATTTACTGTCCCCCTTTCATTCCAATTCCGTGGTATGGAAAATCGTCAGGTAAAAAAATTCAGAAGAAGTACTAACCGAACACTACAGGTGTCATTGCTCGTGTGATAAGTTTTGCAAATCTCTTATCACTGACCTTCACCCACTGCAAGTGACCTGTCTGAAAGTCAGAGAAAGATGGGTAAAATAATCAAAACAGCAAGGTGTTAATGTCCTAGATTGTATCACTATATCGTTATAATTGTATCATTGTATCTTGAAATTTACTTATCGTGGCTAGCTATTCGCAAGGCTAAATGGAGCAATCTGATTGGTTAATTTACGGTCAGGATTTTACAGCACAGACTTCACCACGAAAATAGTCCTTTCGCATAGTTTTTTTAAGTCCCCACGGGAAATTGAAGCCCTTAGAACACAATTGTGCGAATTCTGAATGGCAGCTTGCTCCCGCCCGCTTTTGGTTTCTAAAATGCTTTTCAGTCTTTAGTGCACTCTCTTTTGTTCCGTCCACTAGCAACCCGTATTTGACCTGCATCACCACCAGCTCGTTCCGATTGTTTCTAAGTTTCTAAAAAAATCATTTCTGAGGCGCCGCATTTGCGTTGAATAAAGAAATTTAACCGATAAAAGAAAGTGTTTTAATTACATTCCCCTATTCTCCTTTATGAATTAGAATTACCTTGATACCATTCAGCCTAACGAGCTTGAGTTCCGTGCCCAGTTTCTCATGACACGACTCACTGGGATCTGAGCACGTGTTTTCAATCTCATCGCCAACAAAACATGGCTTCATAAATTTCTTGAATTCTAAACCATAAACATAAGAAGTTCTAAATGAAGAATAACAAATCACAAGGAAAAATATACATCCAAGAATTGTCATTTTCTATCCATGATGGCAAGTTAACTTTCAATATGATGATATTTGTTGTATTCCTTTTTTGTTTGCCAGTGCCGGAAATTCCTTATTGATTTCATTAACCGCAATCCAAAAACATTGCATGCTCAAAAGACTGTGGTCCACTGACATTTCCAGTTAAGAATAATTCCGATTCCTGCTTTTTTTAACTTAAGGATTTTATTCAGTGCTTTGATACCATTAATACAAGTTTTTTTTGTTTGTTTTAAAGTACTTCGTAGGTCAGAGATCGAACGAAAAACCTCATTAAAAGTAAATTTTTATCTTGCTCGTGCTAGAGACATCGGGCTAGGATTTAGTTCTTCTTTAAAAAAAAACTGTTCACCTCGGCGCCATATTCCGCAGCGCATTTAGAAGCCCATACTCACACTCCAAGAGCGGATGCTTCTCTTTCGTCTGTTTTATTCCTTTTCCAAAAAAGGAAGGACGATTCACTTTTTTTTTGTGCTTTCTACAAACATGGAGTCAATTTAATCAGTTTTCCAACCGACTGAGTGTTTAATTCTGTGAAAGCTTCCACCGAGTGAATTGATGGCATACTGTAAAGTGATAGTTTGCCGGATTCGTGCATATGCGTGACTTTTTGCATGTTGGTTGGTTGGTTTTTTGGTCTGGAACGTTGTCAGTTTGTCAATAATCAGGTAAGTTACATCGTCAGGAAGTGTACTGAATCATCTGTTTTGAACACAGATGTTGCTAATGCTGAAATCTGAAAAGCAATTCCTCTCACGAGAAGCGGCTTTTTCGCCAGGTCGCAAGCGATGGATTTGTAACATTGTAAGTGCTTCGGTTTTATTTCAGTTTGCACTAAATCGAAATGCTCTACGCTTCTGTTAAAGCCTAGAAAAAAATATCACGGCAATTTAAAAATGCTATAGAAGACCTAAACACGCAGAAAGGTTTATTGCCAAATATTTATCATTTTGAAGAAAGATTTAGAAAAATTTATTTCGGCAGTATGAACTGCGCAAGTCGAGTATGATACTAATAATCAGAATTATGGTAGAACGCGGGTGAGGTTGTCATTTTACATTTGCATTTGATCACTCATATATATACGGCATAACATACTTATTTTGCTACGTTAAGAATAAACTTTTTTTTTTTAATATTTCTTTACTGAAAAAAAAAAGAATAAACTTGAACGTTCATTAACACTACCTTTTCAGGAAAAAAACGTTATCAATCTTTGTCAACTCAGTTTAGTTGACGCCAGGTTCTTAAAATCGTAAGCGGCGCTTTGAGGATTTTGTTGCTACATCTGGGGCCGCACATAGCAGTTAAATTTATTATCTTTTACTCGCAATATCTTTAAACCTCTTGGTTCTAAGATACTGAGGGAAAGTCGTTGCTATAGGAATTTTGCTATCTCACAGTTCATACGTGAAGTTATAAACTAATGCTGAAATTTCGTGCCAAAATTAAGGAACTTGTCACCTATGATATCTTCCTCTATTAAACGCACCTGGCGTTCAATTCAAAGTTGGTCACCAGCCATTTGTTCAAATTTGCTGTCTATTCGGGCCTGTTCTTTCTGAAAAAAAAAATGTTTTTCCCTTTTTTTTTTTTAAAGCCGTGTATTTTGCCTTTACACTGTAAGTTTATTATACCACAAATACAAGTCCATAGATTGGGGTAACGTCCCTTAAATACGCGGCGTTTCTATTTAATATTATTCGGCGCGCCCGGCCGTTTTATTGATATTATTGAGAAAAGGCGGTTTATGTATATTTTTCATCTTTGAGTACTTAGTCATGCTTGGCGAGAATACAAACACCATTTGTATTGTACACAAATTTAATTTCGCTTTAGTGTTGGTGGTACACAAACAACATCGCGGCTGAATGGATCAGTCACGTTTAACATACGCCCACCCTGGGTCCTCAACTCGCTATGTATTCCGGCACAATATTTTAGCAAAAGATTGTTCTGCCAAACTCGAATGGCGAAAATAAACGAAACTGTTTTAGTGAATCAAAGTTTCCGGAATTTTAAGGAAGTCCGGTTTTATTTTCGGCATTCTGTTTAGAGTCTACTGAAGGAGGTCCAATCAAAAACGTACACACTCGACGTCTGCTTCAAGTCTTTTAAATAAAATATCATTAAATTTTCTATTCTGTATATTCCTTTATGTTTCCAGATGTTTCCGATTGCTTACAATGTAGGGCGAATATGCTGTTATGTCTGCATGGTGTTATTTCATATATACTAAAATAGCAATGTAACAGCATGACTCAAGTAAAAGACTGGATTGCATGTAATCAAGATGATGTGCTAGCAATAGTACAAATTTCAAAACGGCTGTCAAATGAATTTCTCCCAAGAAAAACAACATCTTCCTCAAGTAGGCCCTAATATTGGCTGCCTGAAAACATATAAGTAGGTCAAATACTCAAAATTCATTTTAATTTGACAGATAGAACCACGGAGAAAAATCTTTGCACCTGCACAAGGAAAAAGACAGACGAAGACAGTTTTGTCAAACAAGCTACTCCGATCAATGGCAACTAAAAGTCTAAACAAGAACGAAACAAACCTTACGTGTTTTTTCCTGGAGGTTTTCTGGCGACAATCAAGTCACGGCACTTTGAGTATTATATCGTGCGTTGTTAGTTCACTGTTTGCCTTGGCCGCAGTTTTGGGTAATGGCACGATAATGCTTGTAATTTGGAGAACAAGGCAACTTAATTCGACATCATTCACATTGCTCTTTTGCCTGGCGTTTTCTGATTTCCTTGTTGGACTGCTTGGTCAACCGTTCTTTGTCGCTTTTAAAACAGCGGAACTACTTGGCAAGTTCAACGCATATTGTAAGCTGAGACTGTCGCAGTTTTTCATCGGGTGGATAACTGGAGGAATATCTTTTGCAATTCTCAGCGGAGTCTCCATCGACAGACTCCTTGCATTGACTCTTCACCTTCGATACAAAACCATTGTCACAAATCGAAGAGTGTTAACACTGGTAATATCAGTTTGCATATCTATTTCTATTGTGGCAATTTCAAAGTTTTGGATGAGGGACAATTGGGTAATCATGCCTGCAACAATATTCTCGGTGACGACCCTAATGACTGCTGTAAGCACATTTCAAATCTTCCAGATTGCTCGCATGCATCAACGTCAAATATTTCAACAAAACCAAACTTTGGGTCGAACAGACGACGGAACAGTGCACGTACTGAAGTGCAAAAAGTCAGCCGTGACGGTACTTTATGTTTATGGACTGAGGCTAACTTTTTATCTTCCGTTTATTTCAGTTGTCATCATTGAAACGATATTAGGTGTTACTCAGTCAGTTACTCTTGCTTATGACCTTGCTACAGCCACCGTTTTTATAAATTCGTCGTTAAATCCTTTAATCTATTGCTGGAGAATGACTCANCTTTATGTTTATGGACTGAGGCTAACTTTTTATCTTCCGTTTATTTCAGTTGTCATCATTGAAACGATATTAGGTGTTACTCAGTCAGTTACTCTTGCTTATGACCTTGCTACAGCCACCGTTTTTATAAATTCGTCGTTAAATCCTTTAATCTATTGCTGGAGAATGACTCATTTAAGACTCGCTGTCAAAACGTTTCTTAGAAATTTAATCAGCGTTTAGGTTTAGGTAAACTCGTTGGGGAAAATTATGTTTTTTTTGTTCGATGAACATGTCTTTGACGATGACATAAATTTAAAAATAAATTCACTAGACCTACTTAAATTGAATGATAAGCAATTTTTAATATTGCAAAGTAAGATTCCTTTCTAAAATACTTCTTTTTTGTTATTTTTTTTGTAAAACTGGCTTGGACAACGAGGCACCTTGTTCTAAAAGCTTATCTTTCTTTTTTGGTCAGCAGATTCAAAGATTATAATTTGATAATCTAATTATGTTTCTGGGGTGTGCTGTTGAACTACTAGTTGCGAAAAACCTAGCTGATAGCTAGAAACACTGAAATTTTGTAAATATATTACTTGCATTGTTGAACATCTTACTTCCCACTCTGGTCATGAGTAAAAACAAAAATTCTACAGATGGATTTTACTAATTGTCAAAATATTGACATTTTATGCTTCATGTGCCTTTCACATGAGTGAGATCTGTTTGCTGGATACAAAACAATAACGAATCCATTTTGGAATGAATTTGGCCACAAGAGTGGTGTTTTATTTATTATAATTAAATCATGCAAACCTGGAAGAGCCCATATGAACAAGAACATTATCCCAGCAAAGGAGAGGGTACACTCACCATTTAAAGGACAAGTAAAGCCAATGGGTAGGAAGGGAGAGAAAATCTTTTCTAAATAAATATCGTTTAATCCACTCTCTTGCAGATAACTGAATTAACAAGCGGGTACAACTAACATTATTATTCATTCAAAATATTTCCCCAATTCTGATTGGCTAAAAGCACAGCGTCACGTATAATTTACCATAACCAGTTACTGATGACCAAATTTGGAAGAAATTTGGGTTTAACGAGGAAATGACGTCAAAAATGCAGCCTTCTACGGGTTAATGAACCGTTCACCGAGAGGACCTGGGGATGAGATTGAGTTGTTTTCGTTGTAAAAACTAAAATTGCGGACACTTCGCTCGTTTCAAGAGTAAGAACTACAGCTGGAACTAGGCGAAATAATGGCTAAAAACATAGCAAAAACAGCAAGAAGCAACTCGGTGGGCGACATCTGCTATTTGGAGAATATTTGCAGAGCTGGACAAACCTAAACGTAAACTATCGAAGATAAACTTGACATCGATGCAGGTAAGTTTGTTTTAGCTATGTTTTTAAACTAGGAATAATTTTGAATGAATAATAAAACAACTATTCAATTCGGCTTTCGCATCATATGAAGAATTATGGAGATCTCGGAGGGTGTTATCCGCCTTGGCCTACGTACGGCCTCGACGGATAACAACCTCCTCGATCTCCATAATTCTTCATAAGATACTCAGCCTCATTCATTAATTGTTAAATAATGGTACATTAAAGCTATGTATTAATTATACTTCTTAAAAAACTACTTAAGAAGATAATTATGACGGATACTTAGACGACGAATATTTAAAAGTAAAAGACTTCTCTGATCTCTTAGTTCTCATGAACATATTGAATGGTCGAGAAGAACCAGGTCTAAGGTTATAAAGTTTAGTTCTTTGTACAGCAGTGGACACCAAGCACGACAATGGGTGGTCACGGGTGTCTGTCATCTCAGCCATAAATTTATGACATAGAAGCTCGCGTCTGTTGGAAAGTGTAGTTTCGTTGGCTAGCGACAATGCTTGACTGTACGAACTGTTAGCATATATGATTTTAAAGACCCTTTTTTGCACGGACTCTATTCTATCTTACAGATAGTCAGGAATGTCTTGCCACACTTGCACGACATATTATAAAATCGGTCTAACGCTACTTCTAAACGCTTTCAACATGTCTTGTTCTTGCACGCCAGCTCGCTTAAATAGTCTGAGGGCGTACAGTTTCTTTGATGCCTTAGCGGTAATATAGTCAACATGGCAGTTCCATTTCAAGTTCTCATTAATGATTACTCCAAGCGGTTTGTACGGTGAAATTCTTTCTACCATTTGGTTTCCTATATACAGGGGTCTCATTGTAGTCTTCAGATTTCCCATAAAGCTCACGACCATCTCCTTACAATTTCTTGAGTTAAGCCTCATACTGTGTTCCATACAATGATTTTTTTTTATCTCAAACAGCAAAATCCAGCAGGCTACTCGAGCTACGTGGTACTACTTCAAAAACGGTCGTGTCATCAACATACTTCAATCTTGAGTGCCAATCACCAAGTACTATTAATCATTATAGCAAAAAGCGTAATTCCAAGTTTAGTTCCCTGTGGAACACCACCATAGGTGTGGCGCCATGGAGACAGGGAATTACCGACTCGCACCGCTTGGGTTCGGTTGGTCAGAGAGGCTCTTATCCAGGGATACAGAGTCTGATCGACATTCAAGAAACATAGTTCTTGAAGGAGAATGTTGTGATCGATTATATCGAACCCTTTCGAGAAGTCGTCAAAAATATGCGAGCACAGCAGTTTCCTGTGTCAAAACTGCCTCGTGTATTGCATGGAGTAACTAAGTCAGTGCTTGTGTTGTTGTCCTTCCCGAGCATATTGTCTTGGGTCAATATCGCAATTCACCTGTTTGAGTAACCTTCTATGGGTGAAACCTTCCAAGACTTTAGCTAAGCAGCTAAACTCTATGCAACTCGCATTCGCGACTCAAGAATAATCTTTAAGATGTCCCGGGTGGCGAGAACTCCCCCAACTTGCAGCTGGAGAAATGTATTATTAAACAGTCACATGAAGCATAAACCAATCTTTCAGGAATTCATTTCAAGACAGGCATGCGCAAGCTAAGCCTTGAATCTAAATGGTAAACATTCAGTTTAGTGGGATAGTGTCAAACAAAAAAAGATTAAGCAATGAAATCAACGGAAGTTTAAGCTTAATAGATTTACCTTTAGTCTTAATCACTCTATTCTGATGAATTATTTTAGTTATTTAATTCTGCTTTTTTTTT